CCGCCTCCCTCCCCCGCGAGCATGAGCACAGAAGGTGGAGGAGCCTGTTGGCTGAGCAGGGACTCTGACTCCCCAAAAGGCCGGGCAATGTAAACAGGAGGTGGGGCTCAGTGCACTCAGGGTTGGTGAAATTTGAACCCTGGAGGCCGAGGAGGCGGAGAAAAGCTCCTCAAGGCAGGGCTAGGCACCAGGCCTCCCCCGCCCTGCCAGGCAGTGCCAAGCGCGGGTCCTGGGCCAGCTTCTGCAACCACTGCCTCCTCCGAACACCAGCCAGGACACGGCCTCCACCTCCCTCTCCTGGGCCCTGCGAGGCCCCACAGGGGAGGCTGTCACCCCGAAGTGGTGTTCCCCTCACAATTCCCTGCCCGCCCCCTCCCCCATAACAGGCAGCTTTCCCTCCCGGGCCCTGGGTCTGCTCGCTCTGCACACCTTCAGAGGGAGGCCCAGACCTGTGCTGAGACAAGAGGGAGGTGAGAGAACCTGCACCCACGTCAGGGGGAGGGGCTGCGTGGGGGCCCTTCTCTCTCGGCTCCTGGTTCCACGTATCACATATTTAAAGGCGGCGCTCTTTCCTGCCAGGATGTCTGAGCCCCACAAGGAGGAAGTGCACCTGCAGGGAGAGGCCAGGGCCCGCCTCTCGGGAGGAAGTGCACCTGCAGGGAGAGGCCTGGGCCTGCCCGTCACCAGGGTCTGGTTCTCAGTCGGTGGTTGAAAGAGATGAACCACCGAGTTCTCAGGAGCCCAGGAGACTCTGTGCCCACGGACATCAGTCGCCTCCGGTGGCCCCTCCCGTAACCCCGCACACACAGCCCTTCCCTCCTCACGGCGGCCCCAACCAGAGTGCACATCCGAGGGGAACGGAGAGCAGGTGTGGGAAGAGGACTCATGAACACAGACGTGACGCAGCCCCGAGCCCAGGCCGGCAGCGACACAGAAACAAACCGGAAGGCCTGCTGCCCCAGCCGCCCGCCCCGGCCCTGACGCCTCCTGTGCGACGGGAAGGGATGGGGAGGGGAGCGGTCCCTGGCGACAGGCGGCTACACCGTCCACAGGGAAGCTCCCAGGTGGTCGTCTTACGACTGGCCACCGCCCATCACAGCCCCACCAAGAGCCTGACCCAAGTCGCCAAGCCTGATCTCGCAAGCACCCCAAACCCCCAAGGGCGGGGTGCTTCCCTCTACACAGAAGGTGGGGTGCCCAGCCTCCCGGCCCCTCGGGGACCGTTCTGACCCAACGTGTGGCAATGATGCCAGACCCCCAGACCCACCTTCCCCATCAGCTCCCAGGTTCTCGTAGGAGTCCCAGCGGATCAGCGGGTCGGCCGTGTTGAAGTCCACGCTGACGCCATGGTTGCTGCGGAAATGCTCACAGCCTGCAGGGGGCGGGGACACGGATCAGTCAGCCGAGCCGGCGGCTCTGGGGCTGGGCACCGGGTCAGCCCTGCCCTCCAGGCCTGGCATCGCCACGCGAGCACCCACTGGCCCGGACACATC